AAAAAAAAAAAAAAAAGAAGAGGATGAAAAAGGATCAAGTTCTATTTTTTTGAGAGACTAAAGTAATAGAAGCCCTAAATACTTTTTAAAGAACTAACAAATTAATTTTCTGTCTTCTATTTTAGGCTCAAGAAAAAGGAAGATTAGACTATGCCAAGGTAAGTGGATTTTATGTATACTCTACAGTTTTACACGTTAGTTTGGTGTTTCATTTTTGTTTATATTTCAAAGGCCAAAAAAGAGTCATATTTAAAGCTGGGGGACATTTCCTGCTGAGGAACAGTCATCAGCAGGTGGAAAAATTATTATTCAGCAATAAGAGTATTTATCAGAGAGTACCTATTTCATTCCAGATACTGTAGTATGAGTACAACAGTGAACAAATGGAGTTTTTCCTTTCAGAACATTTATAATCTAGCAAGAGATAGGGGTAACTAAATAAGCAACTAAATAAATAATATAACGTCAGGTGGAGGTAAGTTCTATGAAGAAAAATAAAATAGGGCAAGATCACTAACCACAGGATGCCTGTGACTTATAGATGTAAGACAGCTTATAACACCATTAAAGAATACCTGGTGTCTTGGCCCATATTCTGTTGCTTTAACAAAATGCCTGGAAGTGGAAATTTACAAGTAAAAGAAGTGTCTTTGGCTTATGGTCCTGGAGGCTTGGGACAAGAATACAGTGTCAGCCTGTAGTGGGGTGTTTTTGCCACACTGTAACGCGTCGAGGGCGTCCCATGGTGCCCGTGCTAGCTGGGTGTCTTCTAATGCCATCTTCCCAGCCCAGCCTCCTGACCGCCTCTACCCTAACTGCCTCTTCAGGGCCTCTCCTCTAGGTAGCAGCACATGAATCAGAGGATTGAATTTCCAGCCTGTGGACTTCTGGGGGACAAAGAGAAGCCATAGCATTTGGGAAGCAGCGTGCAAAGCAGACATCACCTGTGGAGCTTTTGAAAACTCCCCTGCCTAGGTGTCACTGCATCGTTCCCTCTTTCACAAGGTCAAAATCCCCTGGTGGGGGGACCAGGGCCTGGCAGACTAGAGTGTTGTGGAAAATCTCCCCCCAGATAATTCTGACCAGCGGTTGTGGTTGAAAACTGCTGCCGGATTTCACATTCCAGGGCATCAGTGTGGGCTGTGAACTTGGTTCCATCTTCCCCTTGGGGACACAAGGACATTTAGCAGATGTGTAGCATGCACACCCTTGCTTGGCTAAAGGAGCACGCTATCTGATTGATGCAGTAGCCGAGAGTATGAGGGTTAGCACACCTGCACTCCAAAGACAGGGAGGAGAGGCCAGGGATGTAGCCTAGTGGCGCCACACCTGCCTGGCAAGTGCAAGGTCCTGAGTTCAATTCCTGGTTCCAAAGGAAAAAAAAAAAAAGACAGGAAGGAGTAGGCTCTGCTTGCCATGGAGCAACCCAAGCTCACAAGTCCTCACCAGAACCTCGCAGCCCAGAGCCACACAGCCATGCTCCATACCTTTACTCTTCCTTGCCCAGAGTCCACCCTCCTTTCATCTGCACCACAAGCCTTTGCCTCCTTCAAGGAAAAGTAGATAACCGTTTCCATATCGGTCACTCTTAGATGACATGTCTGTCTTAGCTTCCGTGTCTGTCATGTCGTAGATATTGCTTGAGCCTTACTGTGTACCCGAACATGGGCTGTGCACACATCCTCTTGGCCTTCTGCAGGTGTGCAGGCTCAGCGCATTGAAACTGAGCTCGGAGCCTCCCTTGGCAGCTCTTGCCTTTTTGTTGTTGTTGTCATCATTTCATGACTTGATTTCTTAGAGCAGTTTTGGGTTCACAGCAAAACTGAGCTGAGCAAGAAGTATAGAGTTCCCATATACCCTGACACCACACACAGCCTCCCTACTAACCAGATCCCACATCACAGCAGCACATGTGTTACCCCCGATGAGCCCACGTTGCCACTACCCTGAGCCCCTTGTTTTATGGGGGGGTCTCCCCTGTGTTCGCCTCTGGTCCTTTTTATTCTCTCTCACATTGTTGGCACTGTCCTCCTAGCAGTCAACCCAGTGAGAAACTGCTCCTGCTCCCTAACCCCTAGGGGGACCCTCATCTCCTGCCCTGGCATCACATAATATAAGACACAGCATTTCTGTTCCCTCTGTCTCCACTCAGGCTGTCTGCTCTTTCTGGAAGACCCTTAGACTTTTATTTGCAACCCCTGCTCACTTTGTAACGCTTAATTTAAGGTCAAACCTCCTGTAGGGACCCCTCTGTGGTTCCCCAGGCTGGATTAGGAGTTTTCCTCATTTTCTATTTTGTTTTGTTTCATTTGGGTACCGAGATCAAACTCAGGACCTTGCACTTGTGAGGCAGGTGGCAGAACCACTGAGCTAAATCCCCAGCCCTCCTCATTTTCTTACTACACTGTTCATCTCTCATCACTGTACTTTCTCCTTGTTTTATAGTGATCCATTATGAAGCAGATTGTAGATTGTGTCTCTTGGGGACAGGGGTAGTGCCTTTTTTGTCTTTGTTAACCTATGTGTAACATGTTACGTAGTGCTTAGTGCATAGAGGTCATGAGTAAGAAGAGAAGGTACAGCCAGCCATGGTGGCACACGCCTGTAATCCCAGCACTTGGGAGGCTGAGGCAGGAGGATTGCTGTGAGTTCAAGACCAGCCTGGGCTACATAGTGAGTTCCAGTTCAGTCTCAACTACATAGTGAGACCCTGTCTCAAAAAAAAAAAAAGAAAAAAGAAAAGAAAAAAAGAAAAGGAGGTATAGATAGATAGGGCTGAGAATGTGGCTCAGTGGTAGGATGCTAGATTAGCATTTGCAGAGTCCTGGGTTCAATCTTCATACCACAAAAAAAAAAAAAAAAAAAAAAATAGAAGACACAGGAAGTAAATTGGGAAGAAGTGAACTGCAGGAGAAAGGCTGGTGGAGAGCTTTTAATCTCAATGCAGAGAGGGAAGGAAAGTTTTTGACACGCGTGGCAGGTATAAACATGGTTAAGAATTGTTACAAACTGGTTTGAAGATAAAGGCTGGAATTTTCTGTGGTAGTTAACAAAAGCAAATGTACAAATAGAAAAGGAAAAGAAAGGAGTGCCTGGAACTTGGATGCTTGTTTATGATACAAAGAATGTCTAGGACTCCTTGTCACAGAAGCACTTTGACAATGGAAGAGATTTCTATTGGAAAAGGAAAAAGCAGAAAACGTGGCACACAGATCAGAGCACTTATGCACTCTTCCACCAACTCACTGCAAAATCTGATGTCAGTCACTTAATTTCCCAGTGCAAAATGAACAGTTTGGAATAATGCTCTTTGGGCCATTCCAAATTTGGGAGGACACATTCTTGTGTCATGTGGCGCTGAGGTCCAGGCTTGCTCCCTTGTCCACCCAAATGTACTGTGTTCAAGGTGCTGCTGTGCTAAGGTGACCACTCTGAACAAGACTACTGTGGGCCTCTCATCACAAGACCCTGGCTTTCCCAGTTAGAGGAGCCCATCACCGTTTGCTCTTCTTCTTAACGTTTCTCAGAATTTACACTTACCACTTCTGTTTTTTGCTTATCCATTTCTTTATTCCTCCATAAAATGTAAAAACCCTAAAGGCAGGGGCCTCAGTGGCCTTGATCAGTGGTTGCATCACCCTGCTCATCACAGGCTCCCGTTACGAGTGCTTCGCAAGACGTGAGTGTATGTCAAGAGAAATGCAGGAGGTTGTGAGAGGTCTGTGATTAATACAGACTCAGATTAGCCATGCGACCCAGTACAGTCCTTCCTGGTTGCTGAAGAATGTCTGTTCTCTATTCCAGTAAACAGAAACCCAACCTCCTTGAACATATAGCGCTATTCTGATAGTTCAAGGCATAGCACAGCTGGTCTGCATTGATTTCAGCAAATAACCCAGCCCTTGTCATCCTTATACAGACCAAAAGCCAAGTAACACGGGAAGAGATCACGCCCTTCCCTGCCAAGGAATGGGAGGTGTCTGCAGGGTGCCGCGTGCGGTATCATCTTGCTGGTTGTGCGTTGTGGGCCATAGTAATGTGACCATGCATGACCTGAGCTCTCCACCTCTCTGTTCCATGTGCTCTCTGCTCATTCTAACTAATGCTGGAATCATGCTTGGTGGCTGAGGGTTCCTCTAATAGTGTTATCTATAAAATGATATTTGAAAAACTCAGCTGCCAATTCAGGAGTCTTTGATGAAACTTGTTGCTGAAAATATATTTACAAGTGATGAGTATTTACTCAAAAGCCAAAATTTTTAGCTCAGTGGTGCCTGCCTTGCAAGTGCAAGGTCCTGAGTTCAATCTCCAGTACCAGGGTGGGAAAATTTAGTCTGAAAAATCAGATTTTAGGAAATTACAGAAGTGCATCATGGCTTTATGCTATAACCTTCTCTCTCTCTCTCTCTCTCTCTCTCTCTGTCTCTCTCTCTCTCTCTTTCTTTGTTTCTTTCATTTTGAGACAAAGTCTTGCTAAGTCACTAAGTTGCCCACACTGGGCTAGAACTTGTGATCCTCCTGCTTCAGCCTCCCATGGTTCTAGGATTACGTGCATGTGCCACCACACCCAGCTCCATTGCTAAAATCTTGTCAGTCTCAGATGTCAGGGAAGCAGGAGAGAGGGAGAAGAGGTGACCATTCCCAAATGGGTCTCAGCTGGATCTCCAGACTGTCACATTCAGCAAAACAGTGGTCTGGCCTCAAACACTCCCATAAGAAATTGAACTAATCTTTAGTTCCTGTTAAAGTGGATACAGAATATGAATGCTTTACACTGCTATAGTGCTCTCCTCCTAAGCTAGCAAAGCTTTGACAACTTAATTCTTTAAGCCTTCCCCTTCCTCTTAAGGTAATTGATACAAGCACCTGGGTCCCGCTGCCCACTGCTGAAGCCCATCCTGTTTAACTGTGTGAGGCAGTTCTAGCTTCTAAGATGAGAAGACAAAGAGCACCTCACTTACCTAGTTAGAACTGCACAAAAAGCTTAATTAAATGGAATGTAATTACCAGAAGTGAATTGTGCCCCAAAAGCGGGTGCTAATATCTTTGCTCTTGTGCACAGTGTTGTAGAGACCGTAATTACAATTAATGGTCTGCATTCTGGGGTGTCCATCTCTCAGACTCTTCCCCATCCTCAGGCCCCCAGGGTAAGCACAGCTGATGAAGCTCAGAGCTGGAGGAAAGGGCCACCTGTTGAATTGTAGGAATTCTTGGGCGTGTGTTGAGACTGGAGGAGAAGGCTCTCGGACACATTCACGCTCGGTTTGCTATGGTAACTAATATATACGTCTAGAAGAAAACGAATATGTTGACTACTCTTGCTTAGAAAAACATCTACAAACGTCTGTGTATTTTCCCCAGCTGGAGCTGAGCGTATGCCTGTAGTTTAGCCTACTGCTACTTGAAATAAGCATGCTGCTAAAAGACTGAGGCAGATGGTATTTTTACCACTTCAGGCAAAACATGGCACCTATAGTTCGAATTTCTACAATTTTAATTTTTAACATTTTCAAAATGGCTTGTTTAAATATCTCTTACATGCAGACATTCTTGTTCCCAGTTTCTTTTTAATAACAGCCTCAGATAATACAGACACGAACAAATATCTCTTGGCCAAAACCAGACTGTGTGCAGCATTGTAGAGTCTGCCTTCTGGTCACTCTTTCCCAAGTGCCTAAGACTGTGTGTTAAATGGGCTTTGCCATCCACGCTAATTTTGGCACACTGTAAATGGTTATATGAATAGCTTGCTTAATATCTTTTTACTGTACTTAGTATTTCATATCATTTGCCCCATTACTCAGTACAGAAAAGTGAGGGTTTTTTTGTTTTCTTAATGTCCTATGAGGAGGTTCACGCTAGGCCTAGAGAATGGCTCAGAGTGAAGCACTTGCTGCAGAAAGATCTCACAGATGTTAATCCCATAAGCATGGCTGGTCATGGCACGCACCTATAATTCCGGCACTCGGGAGGCTGAGGCAGGAGGCTCACTGCCAGTTCAAGGCCAGCCTGAGCTACATAGTGAGTTGGAAGTCCAGCCTGGAATGTACAGTGAAACCCCGTCTCAGAAAACAAACAAATAATAATTCTGTAAGCATCCAATCCCAGTCACATGTAAGAGTTTTTTAGAAGGACAGAGTTTTGGACTGGCACTTCCTCCTAGAACTGGTTCAGGGTCCCAGGATAGCGCATTCTTCTGTCTGTCCTTCCAGGCCTCTCAGGCATCAGTGCTTAGCAGCTGCTCCTCCCCTCTGGCCTTCCCACCCCCAGAAGTCCTGGCACATTTTGTTTTATTGTAAAATGCATTAGCATAGAGCACACAATGAACCTCTCTTCCCACCAGCAGTGATGCACATAACATTTGCACTTGCATGACCAGGGAGAGGACAGCATGCCTGCCCCTGCCTCGCGTCTCCACACGACAAATACTGCCCTCTTCACCATTTCTTTTTATCATACACAGATGCCTCAACCATTTTGCTGCATACTGAATCCAAAATCCTTTTTGAACCTTGAATATAGAAAAAAATCATAAATGTTATTGTTCTTCTCTTACAGACCAAGCCAGACCCCTCCCTCCCTCCCTCCATCTCTCCCTCCATTCCTCCCTCCCTTCCTTCCATTCTGGCAGACAATTTTTACAGCTTGATTTTGCACCACTCTGGCTACCTGGCGGCACATTTAGAGACCAAATGTTGCTGTGTTTTCTCTTCCCTGTCTCTTTTCTTGGGCAGATGCTCCTCTCCCATCCTGGGACTTGACTTTAGCCCCTTGGTAAAACATCCCATACAGCATCACCGTAGGCACTAAATCTCTCATGTTTAGTGTCTGAAGATGTCTTAACATTCACCATTTCTGCTTTAGTGACAACAGCAGAGACTATGTAGAAGTGTTGGCCTTCCCCAGTCCTGTCTTGTTCTGAAAGGATTTGAGGGCTGGATTGGCGGCACAGGCTTGTAATCCCAAGGTTGAGACAGGAAAATTGGGAGCTCAGGCCACTCTGGGCTACACAGAGACGCTGTCTCGATAAAACTAGCAAAAGCTGCAGTAATCCCAGCACTCTAGGAGGCTGAGGCAGGAGGATTGCAAGTTCAAGCATAGCCTGGACAAATAGGAATTTAGCAAGACCCTGTTTCAAAACAAGAAATTTAACTCATGGGCTGGGGATGTAGCTTAAGGCAAAGGCCCTGGATTCAATTCCCAGTGCCAAAAAAAAAAAAAAATGGATATTTGATTTGTGGTACAAGCTGTAAGATGTTTATAGGAGAATTTGGAGAAAAAAATTGCAA